GGGCCAACAATTACGGTGGAAATAAAACCGAAGCAAGGCTTCATGCAGAATCATCCAGGTGTCGAAATACCATACTGCAACAACTGCATTTTACAGGTACGAACCCTATTTGCTTGTTAATTGAGGTTTTTCCCCTGCTTTTTTATCGTTTCCCATATTCTCCGATGGCTTTTTCCGCTTCTCATCCTCTCTAGCAGTAGATTTTTGGCCACGTAGGAATGATAATTGGCGAGATTTTCGTTCGAAAGTTGTCGGTATTTTTATTAGCTTCGGCATTTTTTCCCCAATTCTTGTCACTGTTGATTTTCTGCGCATTAGTGACGGAAACGCCAAGATCAGCAGAGTGTCAGTGACGGAAACGCCGTATCAAGGAACAAAGATCATGTCACTGTTAAATGAAATAATTGCATATTGCTGGGTCACAGACAAAACAGATTTTTCAGTTAATAAGGTAAAGTAATGCGCCTCCTCATCGTGGTTTGAGCGGCAAACTTCGAGACGAGATGGTAATGCACAGAGTTTATCATTGAAATTTCGAAACACGCAAGTTTTGCTGAGTATTTTTGCTAGGAGAAGCGTTGAGCTAAAAAAACGAAACGAATTAGGGTCATCAGCAGGCTGACCGCTGTTAGCATTGGTCAAGGTAATGGGAAAGATTATGAGTTTCATACTCAGAGGATTAGACTTCAAGCTACAGCTGATCTAAATGTTTCGTGTAAAGTGCATGTAATTGTTTGCAGCGCTCTATACTCTCCCCCAGATTTATTCGTTTTTATGCGACTAATTCAAAATATCAGCATAGCTATTTAAAATTTCAAACTCAAATTTACACTAATTACCACAATCGTCATACTGACGAGATCCAGTTGTGGGGTAATGGTAAGAAATGTATACGATTTAATGAACCGGAAAATTTCTTACCATTGTAAAATATTTTACTAGATTTTACAAATGTTTATTTTATAAACTTATAATTCGTTTAATTTATAAATTAATAAATTAATTTAAAATAAATTTATAGACAAATGCCAAATTTACAAATTTCTTAATATTATTTGGCTTGTCTTCTTTCAACTTTAACACATTTTTCTGTCTCAGTGTTGGCGGAATGAAGAAATTCTGGCATTTGTTACGTATCTCAGTAACACCAAAAATTCTTATAGCCCGATCATATCTCCTTGTATTTATAGCAGATTGCCCTAGACTGGTTGCTCAATTCCCGTAAATCAAGCTGTTTTCGGATCACAGGGTTTTCTTGGGAAGAGCAAAAACTCACTGATTTGCCATGGAATTTTCGGAAGCTCAGTTTCCTATTTGTCGTTCAAAATTTTGTTAAGGACACTTAGCTCGATATTTTGATCTAATATTCTTTTGCCGCAGCGCATCTTCACCAATATCGATACATCTGGTAGTCCGTGATTGGGACCGTTCATCAAAGATTTCCTGCTGTTCCAGCTGGAAAAATGCTATTCGAATACATTCGAACAGATGTACGATTTTTGCCCACTGGATCTGTTCAGTGGTGATTTGGATCGTATGCGAAAAGCCCTAAAATCACTGTTTGCTGTACCTCATCGAAATTTGCGTATTTTTTTGGATGGAACTGTGATACATTCGGATGAAATACCGCTTGCTGGTGAGCAACTCCGCGAAACACTGTTCCATGATGGCTCGATATCTGTTGAACAGCTCATCACTGCCGTAAGTTAGCATGTTTTCTACTCAAAATTTTCGAATTCGCAATGTATTTTAATGCTTTAATCAGGCGTTTTTTTGGCGTTGCTTTTCTCTTAAACATTGATACAGCTGGAAATCCCCCCATTTTTCTCTGTTTTGGGCCTCTGTTATTGAAATTATTTCGCATAAATGTTCGAGCGACTCCTTCCAGTGCTTTGGTGGCCTTCCCTCAGTTGGCTAACATTATGCAGGTTGTATTCAGTAATCCGATTTGTCCATCTGTTGTCTCTCTTGCCTCTTGATCTGTCCAGTTTTCATGCTATCATGCATTTCTTTGATTATACCGCCTAAATACTTTTATCCTTCGAATAATACTGTTGTGTCCGTTGCGACACACGTCGAGTTTGATTTTTATTAGTTCAACAGAAAATATCAGCACTGATAGTTACGGAGCTCCGAGTC